GTTTTTTGTTGCGCAAGTGAGCGGCGGACAGCGAGCGAAGCGAGAGGCAGCACCGTCCCTGCTATACGAAAGCCCCATCCAGCCCTGTGCCACCCGGGGGGTTCCAGGATGCTGAGATGGCTGATATTTTGCTTCGCTCACGACGGTCGTCACGCCGCGTAAGAACAGGCCAAAATGGCCCAAAAACAGGCCAAAACTGACCATTTTTGGCTGCACGAGCGAGCGGCGGACAGCGAGCGAAGCGAGAGGCAGAACCGTCCCTGCAAAGCCAGAGAGCACATTACTCCACCTTCGTGTCTTCAAGCCCTTCTTCTTCTTCGTCGTCGAGCTATACCGATTGATGGACAACACCATCTACGTTGATGTCTGTTTTGGTGGCGCGGACGTCACACGTGTCACCACTCCATCCGCCACCAAATCATCATCATCATCGTTCTTATGTCGTCTTTCGTCACAAGCATGCCCATGCTTGAACCGATAGGTAAAGAACATTTGATGGAGGATAAGTTATTATTATTTTTAGTAAGGATTTCATATTTAATTTATCTAAAAAATCTTCATTAATTAATTTTTATTGACATCCTTGTTGTAAATCTCAATTTTATTCTTTATTTCAATCATTTTTTAAAATTCTTTTTTAAATTGATTCACCTAAGTTAACTAGTTCGTGTCCCCCTACTCCTCCTCTACTTGCTTTTTGAAATGAGAGATGGCAGAAGTGCAGCGACCTAAAAGAGGGAAGAAGGAAAAAAAAAAAGGGGGGGGGGGGGAAAGAAGAAGATCAATTCCGACTAGTCTGATTCTACCTTGATTGTTATCCTCTCGGTTTTCAATATGCCCATACATTTACCTTGATTGTTATCTTTGCCTCTACCTCTTCTTTTGAGTATAAAGCTTGCTCAGAGTATGTATATTTATTGATTCTTTATTCATAGATTATCAAAGAATCCATCAGCTCATCGATATCTATCTCATCAACCAAACAAATTACTTGCTCAAATTTAGATATTAATGATTTAATTTTTTTTCATAATTTCAACGTCACTAATCTTTTTACTATTGGGTTTTTATCTAGTTTGTAATGGCAAAAGTAAGAAAAAAAAATGATCTGAGATAGATTCAGTTTGATTCATCTTCAAACTTTTCAACTTTGATTTTAGTGCTTATACATATCTCTTCATCTTAGTCATGCCTTGATAAATCTTTTGAAAGATGGATCAAGTATCATGTGAAGTTTAAGCAGTGTAGATCAAGTATTTGACTAAAATTCCTTAACCAAAATCTTATCAAATCATAAAATTTGACTTATATTTCAATACACAGTAAATAAACAATAATATAATTTTAAGGGTTTGATTTAGGCTTGACCCACATATACTAAGTGTTGAATCTCAGATTTTGATGATGAAGTCAATTGTAATTTATTTGATCTAATCTATATGTTGGAAAAGTGTGTATGATTAACTACGATAGCAGTAAGACATAAAGCATGTGTTGTGCCGGAGTCAAGATCGAGATAACGTTGGGAATTCAAGAGTTCGTCGGAAGTTCTACCAGAACCAACCGAGAAGTCCAGAAGCTTACCAAAGAAGTTCGTAGGAATTTGCCAAGAAGATCGTCATAAAGTCCAGGAGCTTACCGGGAGTCCGCCGGAGCATTACCAAGAGTTCATCGGATGTTCGTCGGAAGCTCACCGGAAGAGCAATTGATGTACTGGAATAAGAAGAGCTGTGATCATGTCTTAATTATCATAATTAGAGCGTAAATTAAGTTAGGATTGAGAGATAATCACATTAACTTAATTAGGTGCCAATTGGGCCCTTAACAGAGCTGATTTGGGCCGGATTGAACAGCCCAATCAGCCCCTGAAAATATGTCTGACGGTAGCACCGCCCAGAAGACCCAGTCTCCCAAGTGGTTTGGGCGGTGGTACCGTCGACAGTTATTACTAACAGCGATGGTACCGCCAGAGCTCGATCTCTTAGCTTTGTCAAGCGATGGTACTTCCTAGATTGAGTGGTAGTACTGCCCAGTGTCAGGTGTCAAGCGGTGGTATCGCCCAGTAATGGCGGTGGTACCGTCAGGACCCTGAAAATCCGAGATTATATACTTTTTGGCTCTATTTTTGAAGCTATTGGGGCCTATAAAAACCTCACCATTTTTTGCATGAAAGGGTACGAAGGCATTGAGACAATCTTGAGTTGTTGGGGTCTAAAGGTGTTGTAAACAAGTGCTAAAGTCCTCCTCCCTTTCTAAGTTTTGAGATCATTCAAAAGATGTGTGAGACTTGTAAGGGTTCTCTCCTAAACCCATGAAAAGGAGAAAGTACTGTAAAAGGTGGTTGGTCTTCACCTATTGAAGGAAAGCCTTTAGTGGACATCGATAACCTCGTCGGAGGAGGAATCCAAAAGTGCATATAGGTCACATTGACCGAACCACTCTAAAACTCAGTTTGCATTTACTTAGAGCAATTTACTTTTATAGCAAATTGTCTCTCATCGTTACAGCATTTTTACTACGCCCACGTCTCACATACACTTTCAAGTAAACACCTTCCAAGATTGGTTTTAATTGTACGAAGATTTTATGAAACCGACGCTTTTCATTTATGTAATTTACATTACTGTAAATCTCCTTAATTTTCTCTTATATTTTTACGAAAAGCTTTCTAAGTTCAAATTCTCGCGTATACGGATTGAATCAAAATAATTTTCGTCGGAATCGATTTTAATCGAAATAAAGTCTTTCGAATTCGGAAAGTTTTCCACTGTACTAATTCACCCTCTCCCCCTCTTAGTGCCGCTCTCGATCTGTCTAAAGCTTAAAATCAAATCTACTGTAGCAGTTGCAAGAATTGATGAAGTGAGCACTATTCATTAGTTTAAAATTAGACCGTATGTGTTTACTTAATTTCAACAAAACACTTAAAATAATTTGAGATGTCTCTATAAAAACTTAAAGTATACTTAAGAGACTCGATTATTCTGCTGAAGATATCAACATACCGTTCGAGTATTCCTTGTTGAATATATCAACCTAATAAATATTAAGTAAAGGCAACCTATTATATATATATGTATATATATATATATATATATATA